AAGTAACTTTTCCTGCAAATTTTAATCCACAAGAAAAATAAAAAAATAATTAAATTTATAAGTTTAATATTTCAAAAAAACTTCATGTCCCACATTGATTGAATATAAAATAATTAAAGAGTATATAAGTTGGGGCAATACTTACCTTACAAGTTGATTTGTATGGTTGAGTGTTAGGCTTATAATCTACAATCTTAGAATTTAAAAGATTATGTATCACATGTTGGAGACATGGAAACAAATGCTTTGAATGAATTCATTGTGAGCATTTTAAAGTTGAAGAATTATTGATAGATTTTATAGTAATTTCTTTAATTTTTTTTGTAGGAAAATTTCTTGTAAATTTTTTTCGCAAGAAATTTTGTAGGAAAATTTCTTGCAAATTTTAAAATTCGCAAAAATATATTATCTACGAAGGTATTACTTGAAGATAAAATTTCGCAAAAAAACTTGTAGGAACAACGTTTCCTGCGAATTTTTCATAAAAATTCACAAAAAAAGCTACATGTAATAAGAGAAATTCTAGTAATGAATTCCAGACTTACTTGATGTATTCCTTTTCAGAACCCCTAATAGGTATTGGACAAACATCATTTGGTTTTCTATGTCTTGATTACATACCCACGGTTATCATGTAGCATTTGTTTTTTTTTCCTCTTTTTTTTGGTAGATTGTTATTTTTCTCTTGTATTTTCATATTAGAATAAATAGTTCTTATCATTTTTAAAAAACTTTTATGTCAACACTTATGTCCATCCAATAGTTATACAATTTTATAGTTCAACTACTGTATAGCGGAAAAATTAAACACATATATCATATTTAGGATTTATCATGCAATTAACTAATATCATGTACAAAGTCATATGTAAAATTTCTTGTACATACATACTATATACAAAATATACGATTAAGTGCAAATTAAGCCTAAACGTTGGTCGGTGTCTATACAATCCAATTGCATCAAGGTAGTGACAACAAAAGAGAACTGGTCATCCCCAGAATGATCATCCATAACAAGATGAGTTAACCTACTAATCATATCCTACTCTCATACCAAATATGATCATTGCAGTTCCAATCACAAGGAAAATATAGGATAAACTTACGAAAAGAATTCAACATATAATCAAATTAACCACCTTTCAACATTACAACATAATCAACTAATAAACAACACCATCATGCCAAAATATAACAGCTCACAACATGACAACAATATCAGCACAACTTAACCAACTTAAGCACATTCAACACAACAACACATATTATTGCATTTGATGCATCGTCACATATCAAATATGGAGATTTCCTAAAACACAAGGTGAAAAATTTAAGTGGCTAGACTTTATTGAATCACAACGTATGACTTATGTCAACCAGGTCAGCTAACAACTCAATTTGATTTCTCAGGTTCATCACTTAAACTAGGAAGTTTAGTATTATTGTCAGGGTAGAACAATTTAGATATGAGTCTACCACGACATTAGTTTGTATCACTAAGCCACCTACTACCCCACAAGTACTATGCCTCTTCAATACTAGGTTGGAGACTAAGTCTTTGATCCAATACTTTACTCAATTGGTTGTTTTATTTGCATGTGCCTCGATCTTATCCACACACGAATACCATATAAAATCATGAGGAGACAACATATAACTTACCATTCAGCATTCAACTCAGATACTTGAGATTTTACAATAATTGGGCTCTTAGAGCACCACATCTCACATTCACACAATGGGATATTTAGTTTTTGAAGTCATCACTTACTCTCCTATAGTTTTTATGTATCTTAAATAGGACATGTATCTCAGTTACATGCCTAATAGCTTAACAACTTAAAACAACTCATAAATTTACAACATATTCAACTTACAACGTATCAACATATATATATATATATATAGCAATACCATCTCATGCCTGAATTTGTAAATTACAGATTGCACCATTTGATCCTACCAAGAAGAAGAAGAAGAAGAAAATTACAATTGTGGATCCTGATGATGACCCAGTCGAAAAATTGGCTGAGAAGACAGAAAACCTCTCAGGCATGCAAAATAAAACAAGCAATTTCCTTTTGTGGTTTTGATTCCAGTGCTATCTAGAAATTGTGTTATGCATGATTCTCATTTGTTTTTCACTTGCAGTTGCTGATGGAGTTGAGACTGCATTTACTGGTTTGAAAAAGAAGAAGAAGAAGCCTGTAAGTCATACGTATGATTAATTAGATCTTTCCCTTTCTAATGAATAATTTCATCTATTGAGAATTTAAGTTTTTGATGTTGCTAGTATTTTGTTGGAAGCAATTTGACACCTGATGCTGTCTGATTGTAGGTTGAAATCAGTAACTTGAATGATGAGAGTGGAGATGCCATTGAAGATTTGGATGGTGAGCAGCGTATACCTGTGTAAATATTGTGTGTGAATATTGGACCGTGTTTGTTATGACAACAAGTGATGTCTTGAGGAAAGCTTATTCAACATTGATTATTTGATAATCCTTTTTGGCATTTAGATCACGCTGAAGATGATGAAGGAGAAACAGTTGCTCCCCAGGCTCGTTATCCTTGGGAAGGGAGTGATCGTGATTATGAATACGAGGAGGTGTGTTGTATGTTAATTACTTTTCTGCAATGCTGCTATAGCGACCTCTGTGATTGAAATGCCTATGTCAAGCTTGTTTTATGTTGATTTTTGCTGCATCACTTAGTTGAAAAGTTTTTCTGAGCTGGTTTTAATTTTCATCCCTAATTCTGATTATTTAATATTTATTTTGTGGTGCCTGTGGATCTGCCCTGTTACGTTTCCATATATGTTTCATAGGGTGATTGTGGTGGTGGTGGTGGTGGTTGGGGGGGGGTTGCTCTTGATTTTATAGTTTCTTTTAAATGATTGAAATCTTTAATCTGGTAGCATTTTATTTAATGATTTGTGTGCCTTGGTTATCCTTATTGGATCAAGAAATGTTGGTTTTTTTAAACACTAAACCATCTAAATGGAATTTTTGTTGGCATGGTGTCCAATTATAAAGCCATAATATATAGTCTAAATCATTTATGCTATATTCTGTTCTTTCTTTACTTGGAAGCTGCTTATCTTGCCTTACCCTTCCCAAACATCTCTATCCTGGATCCTGATGTGTTATTGTGCAGCTTCTTGGCAGGGTGTTTAACATTCTACGTGAGAATAATCCTGAACTTGCTGGAGATCGGCGGAGGACAGTTATGAGGCCTCCTCAAGTTCTTCGTGAGGGCACAAAGAAAACTGTGTTCGTGAATTTTATGGATCTGTGCAAAACGTATGTTGATATTTCATGCAAATTGGTTCACATTTTTTTTTTTACTTTTTTATTTTATATTATTCACTCAATGATGATGGGCACATCAGTTTTGTGATGTTGGTTTGAAATTTCTTGTACTCTTTTGGACACATCAATGAACATGGACATAACAATTATAGGGACCTTGACTTTGTTGTGTTGGAGGTGGATCTGTTGCTGAATCCAAATCCAAGTAAACCATCCAATTAGAAGGTTTACTGCAGATAGAACAAAATGACCTTAGGAACTGCCATGATGGGTGACAGTTTATGTGTTGTATAAGGTAGTTATTGTGACTGCTGTGCAAACAAGTTTATGTGGAAGGGGGGAGAGTTAGTTATGTTTTTATCTAATTGTATGGTGTAGTTTACAAAGTTAGGAGTTAGATATTATGTCAGTCCTTGAAAGGAGAAACATTTTATGGAGGAACCCTAGGCTCTGGAACTGTAATTGCCCATAAGGTGTGTTGATGAATTCAATGATATTCCCCTTTTTATTTAGTTTAAGAATTGGATGCATATACCAATCCTGTTATTTTATTTGTCACTGTTCTGTTACGCACAGACAGATTCTGAATTTCCACTAAATTTCTTATTTCCAAGGAATAGTTCTGAACTGGCATTTCTTTAAACATTTGTTTTCAATTTTCTTTTCAGATCAGATTATTGCTGTATGTTTCTTTGAGATTAACTTTTCATGAATGAATGCAAATTGCTTGCCTTATTAATGAATGCAAAATGCTTGCTCAATTAATGAATGCCTGCTGTATAGAAGTTTGGGAAATTTCTACATACCTATTGATTTTGTTCAGCTAATAATGATTATTACCATTTTTTTATGCCTTTGTTGACTGTTTATTCCCCCATGCCATATTTGCCTCTTACAAGTAATTTGACATTAGGTATGCTTCCTTTTTGTTAATGTACTTCTATGCTATCTTTTAGAATGCATCGGCAGCCAGACCATGTCATGGCTTTCTTGCTTGCTGAGCTGGGTACAAGTGGCTCCCTTGATGGTCAGCAGAGATTGGTTGTGAAGGGAAGATTTGCACCAAAGAACTTTGAAGGAATTCTGCGACGATATGTCAGTAAGTATTTGTGTTTAATAATCGATAATCTGTTGTGTTTCACAAATGGAAGGTAAGTATCAAGGTTCTGTGTTGTGTAAGATGGCGTGTTTCTATTGCTTAATATATTTTCTGGTATGTTTTTTTAATACATTTGTCTATAACAAAACAAGAACTTTATAAATGTGCCCCTGGCTATTTTTTTGCCGTCTATTTTGGCCTATCAGTTGAAGTCATCACTTTTGTTTTTCTCAGATGAATATGTCATTTGCCTTGGATGTAAGAGTCCGGACACTATACTTACCAAGGAAAATCGTCTCTTCTTCCTCCGGTGTGAGAAGGTAAATTTTCTATACACTTTATGCCTGAATTTGTAAATTACAGATTGCACCATTTGATCCTACCAAGAAGAAGAAGAAGAAGAAAATTACAATTGTGGATCCTGCTGATGACCCAGTCGAAAAATTGGCTGAGAGGACAACCCTAATTAGGCAAAGGGCCTCTACTTGACTTACGCCTAATGTCATTCAAATTACGCCTGATGTCATCCTAATTTGAGACGAGTCTCTCTCTTCAAGCTTGGCGTCGTCACCAATCATGTATTCTACATGCAAAGACCTTTGGTTGGAACAACGTCCGACATCATGAAGGCACACTTGGTGCAATGTCAGTTTCTACACTTATGTAGAATGAATTTTCACGAATCCACCTGAAATCCAATAAAATCCCAACATACAACATATGCGTACCATAAACAACTCAAATCCATATCAAATACAACATGAATTCACAAATTTTGGAAAAATCATCAATCTCAGCACATGAGTAACTTGAAGGAAAACAAAACCCTAAAACAACTTCAATTCATTTTTACCATAACCCAATTCCTCATAACAGCCAACATCAAAGGATTCAATTAACACATTATCAACATGCAATCCACGAAATCAACACAAGCTTCCTTTATCTCTTAAAGAACCAATCTAGAGGAGGAAGAGGAGAAGAAAATTTATACAACTCCAACTCAACAAGATTTGATTCTCTAGTCCACAAGTTCAAAATCAAAGCTTCCACATCTTACTCACCTACAAAAAGAAGGAGAAGTTGCCCCCTAAAGAAACTCTCACTAGCCTCTCTCTCTCTAAAATCCTTGAAACCTTAAGTTATGAGTCTTGAACTTTAGAAAATCCTTTTATGCCTTCTTGAACCAACTCTCCTTGTCTCTGATTTTAAGTTACACAAAGATCAACTTACTCTAATTAAAGATTCCCTTAACCCAAAATTCTTAACAATAATTAACATCAAAACAACAAAAATCATAAAATTAATAAAACAACCTTTAAGTTACCAGTGTTACAACACTAGTTCCAACTAAATTCTTAACAAAATTTTATTATATATAACTAAAATTTATAATAAATTATCATGCCTGAATTTGTAAATTACAGATTGCACCATTTGATCCTACCAAGAAGAAGAAGAAGAAGAAAATTACAATTGTGGATCCTGCTGATGACCCAGTCGAAAAATTGGCTGAGAAGACAGAAAACCTCTCAGGCATGCAAAATAAAACAAGCAATTTCCTTTTGTGGTTTTGATTCCAGTGCTATCTAGAAATTGTGTTATGCATGATTCTCATTTGTTTTTCACTTGCAGTTGCTGATGGAGTTGAGACTGCATTTACTGGTTTGAAAAAGAAGAAGAAGAAGCCTGTAAGTCATACGTATGATTAATTAGATCTTTCCCTTTCTAATGAATAATTTCATCTATTGAGAATTTAAGTTTTTGATGTTGCTAGTATTTTGTTGGAAGCAATTTGACACCTGATGCTGTCTGATTGTAGGTTGAAATCAGTAACTTGAATGATGAGAGTGGAGATGCCATTGAAGATTTGGATGGTGAGCAGCGTATACCTGTGTAAATATTGTGTGTGAATATTGGACCGTGTTTGTTATGACAACAAGTGATGTCTTGAGGAAAGCTTATTCAACATTGATTATTTGATAATCCTTTTTGGCATTTAGATCACGCTGAAGATGATGAAGGAGAAACAGTTGCTCCCCAGGCTCGTTATCCTTGGGAAGGGAGTGATCGTGATTATGAATACGAGGAGGTGTGTTGTATGTTAATTACTTTTCTGCAATGCTGCTATAGCGACCTCTGTGATTGAAATGCCTATGTCAAGCTTGTTTTATGTTGATTTTTGCTGCATCACTTAGTTGAAAAGTTTTTCTGAGCTGGTTTTAATTTTCATCCCTAATTCTGATTATTTAATATTTATTTTGTGGTGCCTGTGGATCTGCCCTGTTACGTTTCCATATATGTTTCATAGGGTGATTGTGGTGGTGGTGGTGGTGGTTGGGGGGGGGTTGCTCTTGATTTTATAGTTTCTTTTAAATGATTGAAATCTTTAATCTGGTAGCATTTTATTTAATGATTTGTGTGCCTTGGTTATCCTTATTGGATCAAGAAATGTTGGTTTTTTTAAACACTAAACCATCTAAATGGAATTTTTGTTGGCATGGTGTCCAATTATAAAGCCATAATATATAGTCTAAATCATTTATGCTATATTCTGTTCTTTCTTTACTTGGAAGCTGCTTATCTTGCCTTACCCTTCCCAAACATCTCTATCCTGGATCCTGATGTGTTATTGTGCAGCTTCTTGGCAGGGTGTTTAACATTCTACGTGAGAATAATCCTGAACTTGCTGGAGATCGGCGGAGGACAGTTATGAGGCCTCCTCAAGTTCTTCGTGAGGGCACAAAGAAAACTGTGTTCGTGAATTTTATGGATCTGTGCAAAACGTATGTTGATATTTCATGCAAATTGGTTCACATTTTTTTTTTTACTTTTTTATTTTATATTATTCACTCAATGATGATGGGCACATCAGTTTTGTGATGTTGGTTTGAAATTTCTTGTACTCTTTTGGACACATCAATGAACATGGACATAACAATTATAGGGACCTTGACTTTGTTGTGTTGGAGGTGGATCTGTTGCTGAATCCAAATCCAAGTAAACCATCCAATTAGAAGGTTTACTGCAGATAGAACAAAATGACCTTAGGAACTGCCATGATGGGTGACAGTTTATGTGTTGTATAAGGTAGTTATTGTGACTGCTGTGCAAACAAGTTTATGTGGAAGGGGGGAGAGTTAGTTATGTTTTTATCTAATTGTATGGTGTAGTTTACAAAGTTAGGAGTTAGATATTATGTCAGTCCTTGAAAGGAGAAACATTTTATGGAGGAACCCTAGGCTCTGGAACTGTAATTGCCCATAAGGTGTGTTGATGAATTCAATGATATTCCCCTTTTTATTTAGTTTAAGAATTGGATGCATATACCAATCCTGTTATTTTATTTGTCACTGTTCTGTTACGCACAGACAGATTCTGAATTTCCACTAAATTTCTTATTTCCAAGGAATAGTTCTGAACTGGCATTTCTTTAAACATTTGTTTTCAATTTTCTTTTCAGATCAGATTATTGCTGTATGTTTCTTTGAGATTAACTTTTCATGAATGAATGCAAATTGCTTGCCTTATTAATGAATGCAAAATGCTTGCTCAATTAATGAATGCCTGCTGTATAGAAGTTTGGGAAATTTCTACATACCTATTGATTTTGTTCAGCTAATAATGATTATTACCATTTTTTTATGCCTTTGTTGACTGTTTATTCCCCCATGCCATATTTGCCTCTTACAAGTAATTTGACATTAGGTATGCTTCCTTTTTGTTAATGTACTTCTATGCTATCTTTTAGAATGCATCGGCAGCCAGACCATGTCATGGCTTTCTTGCTTGCTGAGCTGGGTACAAGTGGCTCCCTTGATGGTCAGCAGAGATTGGTTGTGAAGGGAAGATTTGCACCAAAGAACTTTGAAGGAATTCTGCGACGATATGTCAGTAAGTATTTGTGTTTAATAATCGATAATCTGTTGTGTTTCACAAATGGAAGGTAAGTATCAAGGTTCTGTGTTGTGTAAGATGGCGTGTTTCTATTGCTTAATATATTTTCTGGTATGTTTTTTTAATACATTTGTCTATAACAAAACAAGAACTTTATAAATGTGCCCCTGGCTATTTTTTTGCCGTCTATTTTGGCCTATCAGTTGAAGTCATCACTTTTGTTTTTCTCAGATGAATATGTCATTTGCCTTGGATGTAAGAGTCCGGACACTATACTTACCAAGGAAAATCGTCTCTTCTTCCTCCGGTGTGAGAAGGTAAATTTTCTATACACTTTTGCTTGTTTCTCTTCTTCCTTCCTCTTTTAGTTTTCATGCCAAGTGTCTCCCTCCTACCCACCTTGCTGCTAGAACCCCCCTATATAATGCCCCCCACCTCAATTGTTGATATGTACGTCTAGTAACTTAAGTGGCATCTCATGTTTAAGAACACAGTGATGTTTTGAAATTAAAATTTAGCTACCTTTTTTTTTTCTCTCTAAAAAGAATATGATAACAATTATTAAAATGGATTTTGATATTATTTTAAAATATATGTTAGATTTTCTCAAACTTATATACTGATATAGTCATATCATAGTCTATGTATAATCTCTAATGTACTTTATCGCATATGTTTTTCTTTACCTTCAACAGAGTGTTGGGAGAACATGATTTTTAAAAATAATTTCATGAAATTCACTCGTTAAAAAAGGAGCTAAAAAGGTTTTCACATAATATACATAATAATCCATATTTAATATTTAAAAGAAAGAAAATTGTATTTTACCATGAATAAGTGGCATTTTGTATCCTTCCATATTTTTAAAATTAAAATAAAAAGGGGAGATAGAGGGTGTAGGTTTAGAAAAAATAATTATTAAATTTAAAATTACTGGAATGATTTGCAAAATAAATAAGAGACTAAATTACGTAAATAAATGTACTAAAATCAATGTTACTCATAAAATAGGTATTTCGTAGTATATCAATATATTCCGAATAATTAAATACATCTGTTTTTAATGATAACTGAAATAGATACATCTGTTTTTGACTTAAATCCTTTGAAAAACAAAAATAATAAAGTGAAGTACAGACAATATAGTTATACAAATAAGGATTTAATAGACTTAGACTTGCTGTTAGATACATTGGTAGTTTGCACGTGCAAACTACCAATTTTGACTTTTTTTTTATATTATTATTCTCACTTCCGGTCTTTAGAAGGATTGATTAATTCAATTGAATTTGCACCACTAATTTATGACTAAAGCAGAATGCCGTTGCGTTTAACACTTATCCTTTCTTCATTCTAGTCAATGGGTTCCTTTTGATTAGAGTAATTGCGGTATATATAGATTAATTAGGACATGTTTACATCTCTCTTTCTTTTCCTCAAAAATTTGATAGGCATTTATTTGAATTTCATCCCATTAAAATATGATGATATATGAAATAAGACCTCACCAATCTTAACATTTATAGTTAAATTGTATAAAATATATATATATATATATATAATTTATATTAAGGTTTATGTATTTGTATCGGTGTGTGAGTGTAGATGTGCATATGTGTTTGTGTGTGTGCATGTATATATAAAGAAGAATTCACTTATTTTAAGACGTCCTAATAAACTTACTTTACTTAATAATTCATATTTTAAAAATATAATTATTAAATTAAACACTTTTAATATATATATATATATATATAGCAAATTTGTAGATTTTTAAAAATTTGGAAACTATATATTTTTTTATTATATAGATTTAAATTGATATATAACATGTTTTTATGATTATCCGTTAATTTGAATTATGAAAAAAATATTAAATATTTTTTAAATTTTAAAAAAACTTGTGAACTTAATTAATCTATGCATTAAATTTTTTTAATTTAATAGTTAAATCATTGAAATTTAATATAAAATACGAGTTATTAAGTGAAATAATAAGACTTATTCTTAAGATGAGTGGAACTCTTCTCCATATATATTATATAAAATAAAAAATATTTAATATTATCAAAGTGAAGTAATAATGGCCATATTTAATATTTGATAGAACATTAATAAAGTGGCTTAAGAAGAAGAAAAATACGTGCGGGAAAAGTCAAACAATTTGTTATTATTTTTATAATATCAAGTAATTAACTAATTAACTAAAATGTCTTTATCAACCAACCATTCATCTTACATAAATTACTGGAATTCAAGATCAGGTTATGGCTATGTGCTTGTTTATTTTGGAACTATAACCTTGTTTGATTATTAGAAGAGAATTGAGAAATTGTATTCTTTTGGTTAAATAATTAGGCTCTATAGTGAAATTGTTAAAATGTGATATAGACTTCTAGAATAAGCTAGATCATCATAGAAAATACATAGATGTATGTTAGTAACTACTAGATGATACAAATTCTAGAATTATGTAGACAATTATGTATAGATAGAAAACTCTAGAATAAATATCTCTAGAATCTTCTACATATATAAAACATGAATGGTGGTGTTGAGGTTTATAAATAGACTATGTACTCAACATTTGTATTTAAGCAACTAGTAAGTCATTTCTACTCGAATTTATTCGAACTATTCCTCTTAACTAGTTTTCCTTTCAACTAAGCCTATCAATATAATTTTGCCTCTCCATTCTTTCTACCAATCAAAGAAATTTTTACTATTTGATAATTCATAATCTAACAGGAATGATTGTCTAAAACAGATCAGGATGTTCATATACTGATTTGATTATTAAGGGCACAAAAATCATATATCCAAGTTTATTTTTGATTCCTGAATGATTAGTGGTATGTAGTAGCTGTAAATGTTGAATAGGTGCATTTTAAATGTTGCTAAACTATGTCAATTTGCCTATAAAGTGAAAGCATAATTTATTCAAATCTGAGTCGAAATGTATCAGTTTTACTTCTGTCTGTATTTGGGTGACATTTGTGTGTGTGTGTTTTTTCAACGGTTGCGGTGGAAAATGCTATAATGGTTGAGATTCATTGTAAGATGGAGTATTGCAGGTTTGGTAATTGGTACAGGATAGGAGTTACTCTTTTTTTTTTTTTTTTCATTTGCTTTTAGTTTTTCTATGGGTTTGAAGAGTACCATTTGTATGTTTGTTTGTTTTTGTTTTTGTTTTTTTTTATACTTTGTAATTATATGTCTTGTGTCTCTTTATAATTGAAATAATTTTGTTTTGTTTAAAAAAATAACCAATTTAATTATATTGAGAGTAAAATAAAGTTTAAATCCATTAGTTTAATTTATTTGGTTTCATTTTGACTAAATTTGTAAGTTTTTCTTTGCAATCCGAATCAAACCAAATTGATTAATAACATATTAGTTCAATTCGAATAAATTGGTTTATTTTAGAAAAAAAAAATAATGAAGACAAAATCTTTAGATGTTGATCTCCCAACTAGGAAAAAAAAAATCAAGATGATGAAAAAGAAAATTCTACTCTAGAGTATACTCATCCTTTTCTAATTTAGATACGCTATTAAGTTACGAGTTAACATCACCTTGAATCATCCAATAAGGATAAAAGCAGCAAAAAGGGTCAAAAAAGCAAAAGACAAAATCTTTAGATGTTGTTGATCTCCCAACTATGGAAGAAAAAAATCAAGATGAAAAGCATTATAAACTATTGCACTTGCCAAACTTAATGCAACAAGTTGAGGATGAAGAGATCAAAGTGAGAAACAAAGAAATCGACATGCAAATCCTCTACAATGACACTACTAGTATGGTTGATGCACATCTATAAATTCATTAAAAAAAAATTGTGAGACAAAATTATAGAAAAATATGGACTTTAGTAATTATGGTAGTGATTGGAGTCAGGCGAGGGTTGTTGCCATGCCAGACATGTGAGAGTGAGAGGTTCTCTGCCTTTGCCACAATAGGCATGAGAAGTTTGGTGTCAAGTGTGGGCGAGATAGGAAACCTCCTGCCTCAATAGTGTCAGGTGCTCAAGGGATGACATTGGGCACGGATTACCTGTTATTAAAATGATTGTGGAGAAAAGAGGAACACTATAAAGGGGTTGAATAGTATTGATCAAAAACTCTCACTTTTTGCAATGTAGATGAAGTAAAGAATGAACTCAAGGATTTATACTAGTTCATCTCAATCATTGAGACTATATCCTGTTCTGATCCAACTAGATCAAGTTCCATTATATTGTCAAAGATACAAGTATTTTATACCAAGCCATTTTTAGCTCAATCATAAGTATTCTTTTAATTGTCTCTTCAAACAATCTATCCAAGTATTATTTTCACAAAAAAAACCTCTCTAGGATTTAACACTGAATATTCTTTTATAGTCAAGTCTCTCAAAGCTCAGACAACAAGTATTCTTTTACAGACAAGTCTCTTTAGACTCAAACCCAATAACTGAAAGTTACTAAGATTTACAACATTGTTTTTTCTTCCTATCAAGACCTGATACAAATAATTAAGTACAAAAACTTTTTACATAAATAAAGAATGTAGTTTTTACAATTATAGATCTCTTTTCTTTCTGAGCTTAACTTCCTTTTATATAGCTTTGGTGAAGATGGTTTTGTAACTTTTTGAGCTTCTCTCTCATGATTTGCTTCATTTTTCTTCATGTATTACTTCTTGAGGAGAGAAGTGTCCATTAGTGTAATAAATGCTTACATTATGTGCTTTTACCAAGTTGTCACTTCTTATCTGATTAAGGAAGCTCCTTATCACCTTTTGATATCGAGTAAGTAGAACCATGAATGTGTCAAGATGTTGTAATGATGAAACAACTTTTGATTGCAGTTTTTTGTATTTGTAGAGGACTACTTGTCTTTTTCTTACACAAAGCGTGTTTCTTTCCTTTTATAGAACGGTTGGAACTGATGAGGTGTCTTTAAATTTGATCTATGTTAAGGAATTATTCAGATGTAGTTAGTTTCTTATTTAGATATCGTAAATAATAAAGATTTAATGCATGTCCCTTTTTATGACCAATGCTTCATCTTATTCTTTAATAGAATCGTTTTAGTGAACATATTGTCTTATACACGATTCATCATACTAATGATTTACATATTAGTGAACAATTTATTTTAGTCTGTGGAAGAAAATATGCACAAAGTTTTGATAATGCCAAAGCATTGAAGAAAATAAAGGTCAAGTTAAAGCAAGCTGATCAAGAAGCAAGATCTCAAGTAATAACTAGATAAGTCTTGACTGCTTAGCTTAGTATGTAAAATGAACTTTTAGAATTTGCAAATTTCACTTGGCCATTAAAATAAGAATTTCAAGAAAACCTAAACTTAATACTTTTGAATATAAGAATAAGTTGTTTGAAAAGAA